TGAAATACAGAGAAACATCCACTTACAATTTTCCAGATCTCAGTGCATGGTAAATCCATGTCTCTGTCCAATACAGAAGTAACACAACACAAATGTGAATGGTGCACGAATGACAATTCTCTTCAAGACATGCAGTCTGAATTCATGCGTGAGTAAAGGAGGCCTTTCTCACCATCCAGGCTTAAAGCAGTGAGCTGCAGTCAGAATCCACTCGTCACTGATCAGAGAGCCACCACAGAAGGAACGATACTTGCCATTCCTTCCTATCACTTTCACATGGTAATGACGAACCAGTGGTCCACACTTTCTGCCACCAATGATTCTCTTCTGCAGATCCACCACTGTGCTCACTGCCACACCTGAAAGAGACAGCAGTCCACCAGATGACAGTCAGGAAACTGTTTGCTTTTGAAGACAACAGCAGGTGTCTATCGTTGTAGAACAGGTTACTTTTAATCATTTTCATTGCATCTATTACAAAAAAAACCCCAATAAAAAGAAGTACTACATCATGAGCAAAGTTTGTACATTTTGGTTTCATTACAGTGTTAAAAGCAGTTTGGAAATATTCACTCAAACAGTGCTGGCATCAAATGAACCACTGGATCTTTTCCACTCTACTTTCCTGCCTTCAGACTGCGACTAAAGTCAACAGCTCTGGTAACTGCATGCAGCCCTTCAAAACCTGCAGGGTTCAAATGCTCTCTTACTCAAGGTGAAAACCATGAATGTCTTTGCTGATTCTAATTGCTTTTTTCAGTTGAAAGATTTTACAGTCTGACTATGCAGTTGTTCACCTTCTCCTGAGCAAAGCGAACTCATCACTGTCTGCATGAACGTCGGTACGTACAGCAGTACAGGAAGTGAACGCACGATGGTAAAACTGCCTGATGCTTCTCTGCTGTTTCACATTTTGTTCAGTTCAGTTGTGCCTTCAGTCTGTCGATAGTCTAAACTGTCACATCACTGCTGTAACTCTAGGCTTAATATCACAATATCTCACTGACAATCAATTGTTGCTGCCACCGGCATATGGCTGGAAGACGTTTGTGAAAACTGAAGATTAACATGAGACAAAGTGTAACTGACACAACTATGTGTTCAAAGTCTTTCACCCGTTCTTGTGGAAACTTCCTCACCTCAAGTATTGAACTAAAAAGCTTCAACTCTGAGTTACTTACCAAGCCCCAGCAACAGGAGAACCAGTGTCAGACGAGCCATCCCCCTCAGTCTCTGTTCAGTGACTGAACTCTTGTGACAGTGGCGTATTTTAAATCTGCCAGCACTGCTGTGTGGGCCGTCCAGCCACCAATCACCTTTTGAGAGTCTTTCGACATGACCTAACGGGCTGCAACATTTGATCCCTATCTAATGAGAATGACACAGATGGAACAAAGAGTCAGCAGTCCTAACCACAGTGAGGATGCAACTATGGAAGGCAAATGTAGAGTTAGAAGAACTATTGTTATTGCACAATAAATTACCAACCACTGTCAACCACTGTGAGGCTGCACGGTGGCTCGGGGGTCAGCTCCGTCACCTTGCAGCTAGAAGATCCCTAGTTCACATCCCGGCCTGGGATCTTTTTGTGTGGAGTTTGCATGTTCTCCCCGTGCAGCGTGGGTTCTCTCCGGGTTCTCCGGCTTCCTCCCACAGTCCAAAAACTTGCTGAGGTTAATTGGTAGGTGTAAGTGTAGCCCTGTGATAGACTGGTGACCTGTCTCCCTGACTCCAGCCCCCCATGACCATAGTGAGGATTAAGTGGTGTATAGATGATGGATGGATTAAAGCATCCATCATCTATACACCACTTAATCCCCATTAGGGTCATGGGGGGCTGGAGTCTATCCCAGCTGACTCAGGGTGAAGGCAGGGGACAGCAGTCTATCACAGGGCTACACTTAGAGACAGACAACCAAGCACACTCACATTCACACCTACGGACAATTTAGAATCACCAATTAACCACATGTTTTTGGGCTGTGGGAGGAAGCCGGAGAACCCACGCTGCAGAAGAACCTGCAAACTCCACGCAGAAAGATCTCGGGTGTCCTCACCAGGACGCGAACCAGTAACCTTCTTGCTGTGAGGCAACAGTGCTACCAACTGTGCCCCCCTGCAGCCATCAATGGTTTATTCATTTCCCTAAACTACAGCAATACGTATCAGCCCTGCCCAGGAATGTCTCAAGGAACATGAAGAGTGCAAAGCATTGATCAGGCTTCCAAACTCCCCAGATCCTGGTATGATCAAGTATCTTTGGGTTGCACCACTCAAGCCTGATCTATGGAGACCCCACCGGACAAGCCACAGCACCCAAAAGATCAGCTGCCAACATCCTGGTGCGAGACACTGAAGGACACCCCAACAGGTCCTTCATCCAGGCTTTGACAGGTCAAGGCTGTTTTGGTGTCACGAGGAGGACTCACACATTATTAGGAAGGTTGGTTTGAATGCTGTTTGGCGTGTTGGCCTGTTGTATTCACTCTATTCATTATGACAACATAAACCACAGTGAGAAGGACTCGTGGACTTTATTCTCTTTCTGCTCTGAAACATAACGTAGCTACTATTGAAGCTGCATGATTGGGTCCAAACACGGTGGAGAAAACTGTCTGTTCTATCTGTTTTTATACAAGGCCCTTGTTGTGTCATACCTAATCACAGTGCTGCCAAATGAAAACTGTCACATGGAGAAGAGGTCAGAAAATGAGGCAGCGAGCAGGAAACTATAAAGTAGAAAAGCTAGAAAACAGCGAAATTCCAGCTGAATTAGTTTTCATTACAATATAGATGAACCTCTGTAAACATGGCGTCTTAGTGCGTGCTGTTGACAGCTAAACATGAGAACGTGCGCTGCTTTGACTCGTCATCCTGACGTGCAGATCGAATTAAGAGATTTCAGGTGCAACACGCAAAGAAGGCACAAGAATAAAACAATCAGTCACCCTCAAAGCAGAAGTGACAAGATGAAGAAATATGTGTTCTTTGCAGGTCATTTGCATATAAATGGCCACAGTTCCTTCAGTGTTCACGCAGCACTGATGTGAACGCTTCACTTTAGGCCTCCAGCAGTGAGCTGCAGTCAGAATCCGCTGGTCACTGATCAGAGAGCCTGGATCTCTTTGTTCCATCTCCCAGTATCACTTGGTTCACACTGTTTACCTCCAATGAGTCTCTTGTGCAGATCCACCACGGTGCTGACTGTGACACCCAAAACAGAAAGTTTGAGGTTGCTGTTGCCAAGTGAAGAACAACGTAACATACATACATTAAGGAACAGCTGAACAGAGGACATGTGCACTTTAGTCCACAATTCACCTGCTCACAGCAAATAAAGGGTGAGATGAGCCATTGTAGTCATTCTGCCTCCACTATGTGCTGTGTTGGGACAGCTTTTAAAATCTGTCCACACAGTTACAGGGCAAAGGTTTATCCACAAAGCACCAGTGGTTAAAATGTCTTTATGTTCATACAAAGTTTAAATCCTGATTAACAAATTCATCACTTTCCTTCCATGTACTGGCAATACTAACTGACATTGAAATATCAACAGAATGTGACTTTTTTTTCAGATATTTAATGCAATGTTGGACTCTTGACTAATGATTCTTCAAGAACACACGCTGTAAAAGTGAACGAGTGCATTCAACTTAAAATGATGTGTAACCTGGTTGCCTTAACAACAAATCAAGTGTTGGTGGTGCGTTTCAGGAGGCACAGGACTCCACTGAACTGTGTCAAGGGAACATAGGGGGAGTTTTTCAAGTATCTTGGTGTCCACATAGACAATAAACTGGACTGGACTCAAAACATGGAGGCTCTTTAAAAGAAAGGGGAGAGCCGTCTGTCCTGTTCACATCGGTGCACATTCAGCCGTAGACTGACACCACCACGGATTGTCACAGGAAGTCTTTTCAGAATGTCAGCTGAAACACTGGACTCTTCCCAGTGAACAATAATATCAACATCACTTGCAATATTACTTTTTTTAATCGTGTGTGCAACATCAGTTTCAGTGTCATGTGTAGTATTTCATTTCCACAGGCAGTACTTCATTATAACGTGAAACATTACTCCATTACTTCAGTGTCATTTCCAGCATTACTTACTTTTCTTGTCGAATCTTATTATTCGTTTACTTCTATTTCAACTTCTATTTCTTTTTTTCTTTTCTTTAAGGCAGTGCAGTTATTGTACTTTTTCTGAGCAATATCTGGCACAAGAATTTACTTTAGGATTAATAATATCTTATCTTATCTTATCTTTTCTTATCTTATGCTTTTTTTCTTATCTGATCTGATGTTGTCTTATCTTGTCTAGGTTTACCTTATATATCTATATAGATTCCCTCAAACTCAGAATAAATAGTTGGCAAAGGTCAGGGTGACAAAGTAGTCCCATGAGCTTTATACTTACAATGTTTTTTTTTATTTTGTTTTTTTTTTTTGTTTCTGGGGGTAACCTCTTGTTTTGTGGGTTCCTTGTGCATTTTGCAGGGGCTACTCATATAGAGTTGAGTGAACTATGGAATCTATGTCGCATTAAAGATTTGAGTTGGTTGGGCAAAGTGAAACTTGGTATTTTACGTACTTCCAACATTTTCAGTCGAGCTGACTTCTGAGCAGAGCGAGCCTTTTCACACAACACACACTGATTAGTGTGTTCAGTAAATGTGTTATGAGCTGCAGTCATTTGTTACCGTCTGTGTCAAACTTTTGATGTGAAGAAGACCCGTCAGCACCACACAGTAGCACACAGGTGAAATTTTTGATTTGCATTTTTCAATGACTATGAGACTGGGTATCACTTTTCAGCACAACACCAGCCTAAAACATACAGACAACACAATGCTGTGGTGGGTCTGAGCCTAATCTTTGCTGCAAACAATAAACAAACAAAATAATTTGACAAAATGTCTGATTTTCATACACGTTGTCAATTAAAGTTCTATGTTGCAGGCAAAAGGTCTTGCTTTAAGCGAACGGTGGCTTTGAAATAATAATAAGAATGTTAAAAGTTAAAAAGGTAAATAAATAAATTTAAAAAACAGATGTCAGTAAGTAGCTGAGATATACACAATTTTCTGTAAAAGACGATAAACACAGTCCATTACAGTGCAGCAGAACTTCCTTTCCATGGCTTATCTTCCTGTTTACCTTCAGATTTTTGACTTTTCATCCTGATGTGCAGATTCAACTTCAACATTTCAGATGAACGACAACAGGAACAACAACAGTCAAGTCACCTTCACAACAGAAGTTTAAAAAAAAAGAAAAAAGATGGGCACAAGTCCCTTCAATGTAAGAATGGTTTCCTTGCTGACACTGGCAGAGATCATTTTCCTCAGGACATGTAGTGGAGTCAAAGACATCAAATGCTATTTCACAACATGAGATCTATCAGGGCACTTCACATATTAGGGGCCTGGGTCATCTGTTCCACTTTGATTCTGTCCTTACTCCTGATGTGGCATTTTGGATCAACTGGAGACTTTATAGAACGTCATCAGGACATCCTAATATTACAATCATCCAGTCGAAAAGTGACAAATGTGCAAATGTGAATGTGAGTGTGCTTGGTTGTCTGTTTCTACGTGTAGCCCTGTGATAGACTGGTGACCTGTCCAGGGTGTCCCCTGCCTTCACCCTGAGTCAGCTGGGATAGACTCCAGCCGCCCATGACCCTAGTGAGGATTAAGGTGTGTAAATAATGAATGGATGGATGTTTATCTAGTGATTTGTATTATAAAGTATTTTTCATGTACCCTCATCAATTTTAATTATTTGTCATTCAAACTTGCACAATTTTCGTATTTTTCAAATGCTCGGAAGAGAAGTGTGGGTTGAGCCTCATTTTGGATTGTGCAATCCCTCGCTAATGTATGCTATGCAGTGACAGCGTGCTGCTGTCTGTATATCGCCAATAAAATGCTTCAAACCCTTTTAATATATGAACTGAATTGCCATAGTTTAGCTGATGGATATAATAATGTACAGTGTTTTTTTGTCCCCAACTGTGCAACGTGTTCAATGTGCTGAGCGATCATACGTAAAATGACTGAGAAGAGGTTCTAGGTGAGGCAGGCAGTTCTCTTGCCTCATGGCAGGGAGCGCTTTTGTGTAAAGAGTGCAGATATGAAACACAACCCGTAAACTGCTATCAATCAAATGGCAAATTAGCTACTCTGTAGACTGCATATATTTGTAAATCTGATTCTGATGAAGTCAGTGCCTCACCAGTCATGAACCTCACCGCACCTCACTGGATCCCAAGAGCTGGACTGGATAAAAATGCTTCCACCTCCTCTGTGGCCTGTTCATTTAATAAACAACGTGTGTGTCTTTTTTGGATCCTGGTTAAGACAAATCTTCTTTGTTTTTTTTTTTTCAAATCTCCAGGCTTCTCCACTTGTCTTACCTCAGGTTCTGGTGTATTATTCTTCTTACTTCTCTTCAATCCTCTCTGGCCCCACACAAACACACCTACACCTCTCACAACTGAACAGAGCTAAAATGAACTGAACTGAAATCATTCTGCTGGACTACAAACTGTTCAACTCCTCTGAACTTTTAACTTTGGAAACCAGCCATGTTCATAACAAATACACTGACTTTTAAATCACACTAACAAGTAATGCCAATAACTTGTATACACTAAGTACTGAAAATAATAACAGCAAGCATCCAGCTCTATTTTTACCTCAATCAAAATTTTCGTTAAAAAAATTGTCAAAAAAGTTTGTTTTAGGCCATAGATGGTGTTGTTGTTTCACTGTATAGAAATGTACACTGTGAGGGTTATGGGGCATGTTTTGTGTTTTGGCTTTCTCTGCCTCCTGTGTCTGTGTTCTTGGTGGGCGTGTGGTTTTTCTCTCTGCAGGCTGGGAGGGACACTCTCACACTGGCAACTGTGGCTCATCGGCTCATCAGCGGAGTACCTCAAATATGAGCATCTCACAGAACTCCAGCGCCAGATGATTGTGATACATCCCTAGTGCTACAGTCAGGCCGCTTAGCTGCTACACTTTGTTGAGCCTCTAGCTAAGTTTATGTTTTTCGAGTTTCGAGTAATTCGTGTTTTCTCTGTGTGCTTCCAGCGTCCCTCTTCGGCTCCAGCCTCCAGCGCTCCACTTGCCACGCCAGCCTTATCACCCACCAGCCTCACTACGGAATCCACAGCTACGAGCACCCTCACGAGAAGTACCCCTCTTCGAGCACCTACACCGGGAAAAAACCTCCACCGGGAAGGATAAACCACGAGCACCGTCCCCTGAGCACCGTTCCTGCACACCTCGTCCTCGGTATCCTCCTCAACGCCTCCCTCCCCAGCACAACCTCGCCGGCACTCCCCTCTGGACCTCAGCACGGACGACCCCCCTCCTGCACCCCCTCGACTGACACTCCTGCACCGGATCCCTCCTCCTGGCGACCTCCACTCCCTCCCTAAACCTGTTCTTTATAACCTGTTTCTCCTGCCTCCCCTTTTCGTGCGGGTCCGCCCGCACGGCTACAGTACACGGGCCGTCACAATACACTGCTCAAAAAAATAAAGGGAACACTAAAATAACACATCCTACATCTCAGTGAATGAAATATTCCAGTTGAAAATCTTTATTCATTACATAGTGGAATGCGTTGAGAACAAAATAAAAATGATCTATGTAAATCAAAATCATTATCCCATGGAGGTCTAGATTTGGAATCATACTCAAAATAAAAGTGGAAAATCACATCACAGGCTGATCCAACTTTAGTGGAAATTCCTCAAGACAAGTCAGAATGAGGCTCAGTAGTGTGTGTGGCCTCTACCTGCCTGTAGGACCTCCCTACAACGCCTGGGCATACTCCTGATGAGGCAGGATGTTCTCCTGAGGGATCTCCTCCCAGACCTGGATTAAAGCATCGTCAACTCCTGGACAATCTGTGGTGCAACGTGGTGGATGGAACCAGACATGCTGTCCCACATGTGCTCAGTTGGATTCAGGTCTGGGGAACGGGCTGGCCAGTCCATAGCATCAATGCCTTCATCATGCAGGAACTGCTGACACACTTGAGCCACATGAGGCCCAGGATTGTCATGCTTCAGAAGGAACCCAGGGCCCACTGCATCAGCATACGGTCTCACAGTGGATCTGAGGATCTCATCCTGGTACCTGATGGCAATCAGGGTACTTCTGCCCATGGAGGGCTGTGCGGCCGTTCAAAGAAATGCCTCCCCACACAATTACTGACCCACTGCCAAACCGGTCATGCTGGAGGATGCTGCAGGCAGCAGAACGTTCTCTACGGTGTCTCCAGACTCTGTCACGTCTTTCACATGTGCTCAGTGTGAACCTGCTCTCATCCGTGAAGAGAACAGGGCACCAATGGCCAATCTGCCAATCTTGGTGTTCTCTGGCAAATGCCAATCTCCCTGCACGGTGCTGGGCTGTAAGCACAAGCCCCACTGGTGGACGTGGGGCCCTCATACGACCCTCATGGAGTCTGTTTCTGACAGTTTGACCAGAAACCTGCATATTAGTGGCCTGCTGAAGGTCATCCTGCAGCTCTGGCAGTGCTCCTCCTGGTCCTCCTGCACAAAGGAGGAGGTAGCATCCTGCTGCCCAGTTGTTGCCCCCCTACGGCCCCCTCCACATCTCCTGGTATCTCCTCCAGGCTCTGGACACTGTGCTGAGAGACACAGCAAACCTTCTTGCCACAGCTTGCATTGATGAGTCATCCTGGATGAGCTGCACTACCCGAGAAACTTGTGTGGGTTGTAGACACGCCTCATGCTGCCTCTAGGGCTGAGAGCACTGACAAAATGAGAAAGTGACCAAAACATCAGCCAGAAAGAACAGAGACATGGTCTGTGCTCACCACCTGCAGAACCACTCCTTTATAGGGGTTGTCTTGCTCATTTCCACCAGTTGCCTGTCCATTCGCACAACAGCAGGTGAAATTGATTCACAATCAGTGTTGCTTCCTAACTGGACAGGTTGATTTCACAGAAGTGTGACTGACTTGGAGCTACATTGTGTTGTTTAGGTGTTCCCTTTATTTTTTTGAGCAGTGTATTTTATGTTGTTTTTCGAAGGAAGTAAGAAAATGAGGACATCGTAGTTGCAAAGTGTGAGTATGATATCAACTAGTTTCCTTCTTTTTAAACCTCAGAGGATATTGAGGACATTTTTATCCTTTCAGGTGATTTTTTGCTAAATTTTTGGCTATAACTTTTTTTGTGTTACTCCGAATGAAATGATTTTTTGTAGGAAGGTTTTTCTCATGAAAAATCATAAAATTCAAATTTCAATTTTTTTCCTAGGTTAACGATACACTGAGGGTTAAACACTTCTGCCCCTTATTACACTTCTACTGTGACGATGACGTGTTTTCATTGGTTCTCGTCTTTATACCAAAAACTACAATCTGCAACTCAGATAATCAGCCATCACACAGGACAGAGTGATTTAATAAAGCACCACTGCCACAGTACAAGGGAAGTTAGTGGAAGGTAAATGATACTGATGGCTACTCTGGTGCTTTTTCTTTGGTAGCTTTTTTTTTATTTTCACAATTTTGTTTACTGTTCTGTGCTTAAATATTTCTGGCTTCAATTCATGTGAACATGTTCTTGGGTAAACACAACAGACACAAGAATCACACACATTTATTCTAGATCTGAAATCCCAAATTCTTTATTTAACATTTATGTTTAATTATTTCCATTTACTTGGCATTATTTTCAATCCATTCTCTGTAATGACAGACATTTAAGGCAAAAGCCGGTATAGTACAGACACATGTACCACTTCCAACATGGACTCCGTAAAGCTTGTCCTTATGTATCAAACCACCACCAGAGTCACCCTGAAAGAAAGAAAATATGTTGTATGCTATGATTTTGCTCCAAAACATCTAATGACTGCACGAAAGGTGAAATGTTAGTAGCCATAACTACTTACTCCGCACGTGTCGACATTTTGTTCTGCGTAACAAATCCAGTTTACAACTGGCTCGTTTGGTTTACACTTCTGAATAACAGGAACGTTACAGTTGGAAACATGCATTGTCGCACACTTCAGATCGGTTGCTTTACCTGGAACTGGAGAGAACCCAGAATGGAAAAAGCAAGAATATTAATCAGCAGACTTACAGCATCAATCTGATTTATTTTTTTCTGTCGTATTTGAAGTAGTTGTCAATTGGTTTTCAAACTTAACGTATTCTTTAAAAGAAGTTGGGCTGCATTTAAAGAGAAAAGAAGTCAGACATTTATCTGTTTCATAGGTAAACAAACATGTCAGTACTGTTAACAAATAAAACATCAAACAAAGAAAAACAACAACAAAATCATATAAATGTACAATATTAAAAAACTGTCTTACGTGCATGGCCATTCGCATCTATTTGATAACCACCATGGCCTGCCATTTGAACTTCTGCACCTCTAGAAAATAACAAAAAGGTTATTTATTTTTTCAAACAACTATGCATATATTGTGAGCACAGAATATATCTATGAAATATAATATGAAAGGAATCTGGTGGGTATACACCTTTCCAATCTACCTTTACTCCAAGTAATTTATTTTTCTTTTCAGGTTTAAAACATTACATTTTTGTTTAACAGCCTCAGACTGCATTTAATCCTGATGTTCTCTGTCATATATATATATATATCTCACTCCTCTGGTGATAATAGATGCAAACCTTAAACACAAAACATTAACAGAAACTTAACTCACATTACAGGCGTTTTCAGGGGTTCGCATGCAGCTTTGTCAGGCAGATCTATCGGTGTAATGTTAGTAACTTCGTTCTCTAACTTCATGAGCATGATGTCATGGTCCTCAAAGCGAATTTTTTCTATGATTTTCACAGAACGTCCTGGACCTGGATGCACACCTACAACTGCATACCTAGAAGGGAAAAGAACAGCATATAGCTCCAGTTTAAAAGAAAATAAATAAATCTTGTCCTGCATATAGATAATTAGCAGCGTGGCTTTTCAACTTTAAACTTAAAGACAGATTAGGTTGTAGCTTTGTAAAGTTAAGAATAAATACGTAGTTACAATTTTCAAGTAAAACTGCTTTTCTTACATTGCTTCACAGCAGTGAGCTGCAGTAAGAACCCACTGTGGACGGATCAGAGAGCCACCACAAATACCAGGATCTGTGGTACGCCTGTCAGACAGACTGACATGGTACAGACGCTCAGGTACAGGTACAGATTTACAGTTGTAACCATTGTAAATCCTCTTCTGCAGATCCACCACTTTGCTCACTGTGGCACCTGAAAGAGAAAATCCTCCACCAGTAAAATCAACTCAGAAATCAGCACATTTATATTTAAGAGGTTAAACAGGTCAGTCTCCAGCAGAGAACCAAGCACCTACTTATTATACTGGAAGAAATAACTAAATAACTTTATTATTAATTCATGGCAAACACATCAGCTGCATTTTTCATCACATTTAGCTTCAGTCAGCCAAAATCTGGAGGTATTTTCAATCAATTATGTGTTCATCTCTGTTGATTACATGCAGCCAAGGCTTTACATACAGAAAGATTGTATACAGACCAAGATTAAATACAGAATGCATTTGATGTTAACCTCCCTCTGAAAAGACAATAAGTCCAATGTCCAAAACAACAATGTATGCCCTATAGCATCATTAAATGAAATGAAATTAAACTTAAAATCTCACTCAAGTCATCTACTTAAAAGACAGTTCTGTTGTTGATTAACATATAAAGTCATTTTCCCTATATATGGACACATTCATAGTAGCACAGAGACTGAGACGATCAGTAACAGCATGGTCTACTTGATATAAAAATGTAATCATGGTACCCACCGACCCACAGCGCAAGGAGAAGAAAGGTGAGACGAGCCATCTCTGTCACTGAAGCTCCAATGACTGAACTAGTGTGACAGTGTTGGCTTTTTAAATGTATTCACGATGTCCTGTTGGCCGTTGAACCACCAATACCCTCGTGAAAGGTTATCAAAGCAACCCCATTGGCCACCTAGCTGTATGCAAAACTATCAAATGTCCTGCCCTAAAATGCATTATAACTTATTTGCTGTAGTTGTACAAAGTTGTCAAGATAAAGATCTACTTGCTTTTTTGGTAAAGTTTTATGCCCTCATTCATTCAGGGTGTAGTGGTCCTGCTGGACTCCAGTGGTCAGTAAACCCAGAAACTGATGGACTGTCTAGTAATTTCAGTGTTCACTGTATGTTCTCTGAGCTCACTAATGAATGCCCACTGTCTATGATAAGCAGTCCATTAAACTTCCAGGTAACATTTATGGTACTCACCTGAAAATATTTAGTGAAATGTAAAGTTTTATATGAACTTACTTCTAATTCATAATACAGCCCAGATTTCCATTGACTCTGTCATAGTAGTGTTTGTGGAAGAGAGCATCAAAACTCCTACACTACACCATATACTAATGTATTCCTCTACCTCTGTCCCGTCTGATTGCAGGTACATGCTGGTTGTTAACTGCTCTGTGCATGATGCAGTAATGCTGGCAAAGAACAAGTCTATCACAATGTATTATTTTGTCTCAATACTCGGCTGTGTTGACAATATAGAGAACATTGTAAGAGATAAAATAGGCATTATGTACTCTTGTCCCTATAATCCTATGTACCAGTATAAATCATTATAAAAATACAGCTAAATTCACAACAATGTACTTTTAAATCTGACAATTCTGCTGCTGCTGTTCACAAAGTACTGTTTAGACTAGTGGTGTGACTTCGGCAGCTAACAATACTGTGGTTAACTTCACAAGAATGCCCTGAGATAGGCCCATTTCATCTGTTTTCTGTCTTCTTTTTTTTTAACATTGTCTTTTTTTCTCCCTTTAGTTTCTTCATTATATTTAATAGCCAACCATTTGTAATGAGTAAATGTTCCCCATCCATGACAATGTATGTTGTCTTGCTATATGCTTTTTTAAAAAAAAACGGTAAACAGAATTAGTTGATCTCATTTGTTGATCAAAACTACAAAAGCCACATCCAAGCAAACACAAGCATTCTTGGAACCTTCAGGGAACATTTACTGAATGTTTATGATTGCAGGAATTGGTTATGAGGGTGTATGTCTGCAATTCATAGTGTTAATAGATTTCAAAGAAGAAAATGCAATCATTTACAGGTAACTACTTTTTAAGTTAATGCCGATTATAGTTGTTATAGTGTTTGCTCCAGTGAACAGTGAACCTAATATGCTTATTCAAATTTTCTTAGTCGTGTGACCTTTGAACTTCATGATTACAGCTGGTGATTTCAACCAAGAATCACCCAAAAGCAGGTCTGCAATAAATAAACAAACTGCTGGAACAGGTATCTGTGTCCACAGTCAAGAGTGTGTGAGACTGCTGTACAAGAAGGAAGCCTTTTCTCCAAAAGCAGCACCTCAAGGTTCATCTGAAGTTTGCTGCCGTTGCCAAGGACAAAGACAGGATCTTCTGGAGACAAGTTCTGTGGTCAGATAAAGCAAAAATTGAACTTTGACCACAATAACCAGAAATATGTTTGGAGAAGAAAAGGTGAGGCCCCTAAACCCAAGAACATCAAACCTACCGTTAAACATGGTCTAACTGCACCAATTCTGTCAAGAGGAGGGGTCAAAGACACAAAATGAGGCCTGTGGACCAAAAGTGTGAATTTGAGGTGAAAATGGCCAAAGAAGTTAAACCTTCGTTTAACAAACAAATTGCATTTCTCTATGTATATTGTTGATCCAGCAGATTTTGTCATTTTTCCAGAAGACTTGTAATGAATCTGTGGAAAAAAAACTAAAAATACATGATTGTTTTTGATGTGTGTGTGTGTGTGTGTGTGTGTGTGATACAGAGGCAGATTTTAATGATTCCCTTATAGACAATTCAGAGTCACGGGAGTCACTGGAAACTCAAGGCTACCATGTTATACATGGTCTAAGTAAACCTTTGTTCACTACTTTAATTATGTCCTCCATGTCACACACCAGCTCGTTTCTCTCAGAGCAACGTCCTGGGGATATGTTGGGAACCTTTACCTTACAAGTTGATTAATAACTGCCTAATTGACCATAGTTTAGGTTTCTGTGAGAGGAGACCTTTCCCTTAGTTTCTCTGGTTCTCTGGATTGATAACAAAAAGATACCAAACATCGAGCGGAAATGAAAAAGATAAGTTTCCCCAACCTCTCTGTAATCCTCTACAGAATCAATGTTAGGACAAAGGTGAGGTGGGTTTGTGACGGTTGGAGTGCGTAATGCCAATAAGGGTCCTCGCAGTGCGCGTGCAGGGTTGGAGGGTGGAGGCTCTCCATGCGCTCTGAGCGCACAGACGCAGCGCTGCGACCAGCGCGGCAGTTTGTGACATTTAATCTTGTCTCAGCAGGAGTACACAGCGCCGATGAAAACCCACTGAGAGGATACTGGTAAGGCTATTCTTTGTGTCTTCATCTAAACTGTAACGGCTGCCTCTGCTGTGTTTTCTGTCTCGCTTATTTTAATTTCAAAGTGTCGGCCAGTGCTGCTGAACGAACTGACGGTTATCGAAATGAAACGTTGAGTTTCATTATTTACTTAGCAAAATGTTTCCTTTGTGTCGTTTGCTTATCAGGATAGAGACAAACTGTCTCTTTTACTGACACTCATTTAAATTCCAGCAGAATGAGCTTTATGGTGTGATTAGACATCCTATTGTAATAAACTTCTGCACGCATTTTAATCGCAGGTGCAAACTGCTGGAGTCCTTTCATTTGAATTTTACACGAACGCATTTGGATTCACCTGTCTGAGAGAAACGTTATTGCTTATAGCTTTGTGTATTGTGTGTGTGTGTGTGTGTGTGTGTGTGTGTGTGTGTGTGTCTTTTATACTTATTTACTTCTAAGCAATCTGTCAGATATGTCTCTGTTTAAGTGGGATTACTTTTGGTCATGTTGCTGATGAAAAACTGAGGAAAACTTCCCTCCATCTCTCTTTCTCTCACACTACTCTGTCATTCTAACATTTCCATGCACTCATATGTAAATAAGTCACTGTACACCTGAAAAAAAAAGCAGAAGAATGAGATGAAGTGGAGATGAAGGAAGAATGGTGCTGTGGTAATAGAGGCGCCAGGATCATTTCAGGGGTCACAAAATGGTTAAAGGTATATTTTTTGTTTTTTGTTTTTTTTTTCTTTTCATCCGGATCCTAAAAATTATTTAAATTGAACAACATGTGCAGGAAAAATGACTCTTCATGTCCACATTAGGGCCATAACTGGCTTTGAGGGGTTCACAAGCCACAAATGTTGGAAATCACTAGAACGAAGGACTAGAAGAAGGAATGAAGAGGTGGATAAGAAGTGGAGAAAAGGTTAATATGAGAAGGGAGAAGCAGAGAGAGAAGTGTAAATGAAAATTGAGACATTGAGAGAAGAGTTAATGAGAGAAGGGAGAAATGAAACAAGGTGAAGAAAATAGATTTAAGGCGGGCAAGAGGAAAGATGGGAGAGAAAAAAAAGAGAAGCGAGGAAAGAAGAGGAAGGAGGGAGTCATGTATCATAAAATCCCCTCCACTCCTGCCTGATAAGGAACCGGCTGCAGTGCACGCTGTTGATCCAGTGTTTTAATTTTCCCAATCTTTCAGCTGTTTGAGCTTGCACCTGTAATTGAAGGCACACTGCTGAAATTAATGGACTGCAGTGAAATAGAAAAAAAAAAAAAAAAGCTTAGCCTCCCGTGACCCTTCTTTCTCTCTCTCACAGTCCGTTGGGAGAAACGTGAGCTTTTTATTTAATTGGTCCGCTCTGGCGCTTCTAAAGCTTTTTAGTGCGTTCTGTTCATCTGGCCAATTTGGCATGAATTCGTATGGCCTGCCTTGTGTTGTGCATGCTGTGTGGGAGGAGGAGATAATTGCTGCTAATA